AACCAAACTTGCCTTATCATCACACTGCAGCTCTTACTGTCTCTCTCTGACTGCAGCACAGGATCACATTTCAAAAGGCCTGCGGTCTGCTGAAGGCAGAGACAGCAGTCGTCCCCCATCCTCAGCAAGAGCCACCGAAACGCTGCCCTGTAATTACAGGTCATGTTTTTTTCCTAATACGCTAAACAGATGTGCTTAAAATTATGCTTAACATTCAGACCCCGAGTTAGACATGATGACATGTCATTACTATCAGCTGGTGGAGACGTACACTATTTCTGAGGCCTACATGACTTGTGATCCTAGAGCTGCTTCTTTTATTCTCTAAAACTTCAATCAATTTGATGAACACAATAAAAGACACGTTTTGCAGAAAAAGCCGTCAACATAAACAAAAATTAAACAAAAATGTAAGTTATACAAATATATATTTTTAAATAGAATGACTTTTACTCTTTATCAAAATCCGGTTAGGGTCGCTAAGTAGGTACAGTATAGACATACAAGAAGATTTTGCTTTGGTGTATAATTGTGCAATATAAACACAATAAAACAAATGTACGTACAAAATAAGAGCAAACGTTGCAAATGCGAAGAAATGTTAAATAAACTATAAAAAAAGAAGAAGCAAAACCAAAAAGGAACACAAGCCTCAAAGTGAACATCATTAATTTAAAAGTATAGTTGCATTGGAACAACTGAGCCGGAAACAAAATTGCATAAACCATAGAAGTAATTTGATATATTGGAAAGACTTGGTCTAAAGTTACATTTTAAAAGGACGCATTGAAATGAATTGGACAGCTTACTGTATCAGGAGGTTTTCAGATTGTGTGCGGTGGGTACATACAGTACAATACATTCTGATTGGCTAATATGTCACAACGCGAAATAACTTTAGCATTTTAAATGTTCCTTTGATCACTGGTGCCCACTCATGTATCCCATGATTCATAGTGATGTCTTTGAAATATTTGCTCTCGATGTAGGTGGCCTCAAGGTAGAAATCTTCCCTCCAAATCGTTATGCAATGCTTTACAAAAGAAAGCATTTGGCAGCTAATTTGATCAAACACACTGCAGCTAATTGACCATGAAGATGATGAGTCCTTTTACGAACCCTAAGGTTGAAACTCTTATATCATCTTTTGTCTGTCTCTAGGAATGCTCGACCACTTCCCAGGTATTCACAATAAGAAACGGTGACGATCTCTGGCTGCACATTAGAGGACATGTGTTCATTGTTGTGAGGTTGCAGGCATCTTGCCACTGCACTGTGTGAGCAGCTACAGTCATTACTGCTCGTCTCCACTCGGCTATGAAAGACGAGATGAGTCCTTTTGGCTCTTTCAGCATCGCTTGGTCTGAGTTTGTGATTGCAGACAAACCCAACCCCTATTACTGTACCTATTCTGTGAATAGATCACTTCATACACACATTGATGTACACACAGCTTCCCTGCTGGTTGGTGTTTTGTATGTTGAATGTTTTCTGGAGGAAACATGTCAGTGTCCTGGTTGCTCCTCAGCGCGGTCTTCCCCCAGGCCAGGGCCGCCCGAATGGGTCCGTTTGGCCCAACAGACTCCCTTTCTGAGTGGGAAATGGAGTGTGCGTAATCTGGGTCAATGATACCTCCTAGTCCCGCACCTTCTCCCTCTCCTTCTCCACCCTCCTCTTCTTTTATCTACCCTCTCTTCCGATGCTGCTTCATAATACCTCAGTAACTGCTGACTACATTTGTACCAGTTTGCTTTATTGATACTAAACTTTTTAGTATTGACCAACAGATTTTGAGGCCGGTGGACCCTTGAAATTGAGACCAAGACATAATAACCAAGCAAGACATGTCAAAGTTGAAAAATAAACATGTCCCTTCTTTTTGGTGGAAAAACACATATTTGAAGACTCTGTAACCCTAATCCTTCATTTATAGTTGGTCAAATACGCCATTACTGATATCTGCATTTGGCTTCAATTGGCTGATATATCAGTAGGACTTCCTAGTGCCTTTAACATTACGAGAAACCATTTATGATGTTTTATTTCCTTTAACATTAATCTCAGAGTCTGATTAAACAACCATGAACTTTAGATGAATCATATTGTTACCAAACTTCACATTTACTTGGGTTCAAAGCCCCCCTTTATTTAAATGTCTCTATTCCGAACACTGAAAACACGGCGCAAAAACCGCCTGTATGGGTTGAATGTGCCGTTTGGTTATTTTTCAAGAAAATAGGAGTCATGATTTACATTTCTGGAACCATATCAGAGCGAAACATTAAAGTTAAACACTTAATTCCTTTTTAAAACAACAGATGTTGATGATGTGCCTTCCATTTGCTGGCCTTTTTTATTGCGGGGCGGTGTAGTTTTCCAATTCCACCGGCCAAAAGTAGACTGTGCAGCGTCATATTGATATTTCCAGAGTCTGAAAGGAAAAACACATTTTTCCGCTCTCTAAAACAATACAATTTAAATGTGAGGTCAGTCAAAGAGCAACAGCCTTGTTTCAGACTCAACAGTTTACGTTGTCGTTCAGCAGTCTAACAGTACGTGATATACAAATTTCTCCAATTACAGTAGCTTAATCAGACTCTAATTCAGGCAATGATAGAGTATTGACTAAAGGGAGACACAGGAAAACTGCACACACACTATTCCCCATAAAACAGCAATACATCTGTGAAGATTAATGATGAGAAGTGTTTTTTCATGCTTACCAGATTTGATTGGAAAACAACTTTTCTCTTTCTATAATTATGACATGTATCATGCTCTTGTTCTGTTACTTGCTGAAGCTTTTCATTACAATCACAAGTGTTCCTTGAAACACACTATACAAGATTAGCTTCTGATAGCTTTGAACCAAGCATTAGCTCACATTTATTTACGTTTTTGGGCTTTAAATAACATTTGGTTTACTCAAGCATTGTCAGTCTTTACATATCTTGCTTTGTGCAAGTGTTATCTTCGTTATTTGGTTGGATAAATATAATTGTATGATATTCAAGAGACTTAGCTGAGAGATCTTACTTTAGATGTGCGTAATCTAAATAAAGGCTGGGTTGAGCAGAAAAGACAAAAGTATTTTCGAGCAAGACGGCAGCAGACAGAGGGTGTTTCTCAATGTCGAGGAGGCTTGCTTGGTAGCACATGTCTTCCAAGTCACTTGCTTCAGAAGCGAGGCAAGAATCCTTCCTAGCCTCGGAAAACGANAAAACTGTTTCAGTTCAGCAATATTCTTGGGATGTCTGGCCACAGCATCTCAATTGGGTTGAGGTCAGGACTCTGACTGGGCCACTCCAGAAGGCGTATTTTCTAATACGCCTTCTGGAGTGGCCCAGTCAGAGTCCTGACCTCAACCCAATTGAGATGCTGTGGCCAGACATCCCAAGAATATTGCTGAACTGAAACAGTTTTGTGAAGAGGAATGGTCCAAAATTCCTCCTGACCGTTGTGCAGGTCTGATATGCAACTATAGGAAACGTTTGGTTGAGGTTATTGCTGCCAAAGGAGGGTCAACCAGTTATTAAATCCAAGGGTTCACATACTTTTTCCACCCTGCACTGTGAATGTTTACATAGTGTGTTCAATAAAAACATATAATTGTTTGTGTGGTTTTAGCTTAAGCAGACTGTGTTTGTCTATTGTTGTGACTTAGATGAAGATCAGAACACATTTTATGACCAATTTATGCAGAAATCCAGGTAGTTCCAAAGGGTTCACATACTTTTTCTTGCAACTGTATTTCAGAGTTTGAGAGTTATGTTTTTAAGATAGAGAAACAAGGTGCATTCATTATTGTATAATTAAAAGAAAGCTTTGTTGCATGGTACCCCCTCATCTTCCTGTCAACACTCAACTCTGTAATAAAAAGGAACAAAATATCCCAAAAGATCCTCAGAAACTACAACTAGGAACTGTAACTATAAACTCAGAATGATCAGCACAGACACAATATAGGCCAAAGCCTCAAGGGAATACTAAAGTGACAAAGTCATCTTGCACAGAAATATAATGTACATGGGGTTGTCAGTTTGCAGTCATGAAGGCAACTCTGTCCACTGCTCAGAGACTTCTCCATGATTCAGCAGCTTCCTCACCCCATTAACTGCAGTCTTTATTGCCTCCTCTCTCTGCATTATATACTCTATGACCTCCACTAAATAATACATTGAGACATTTACCCCACCCTACTGCAGACAAACATTTAACCTGAACTTCATCCCATTACTAACATGAAAACAGAATACTGTCCTTTCATTTATGCTGCATCATCCATGATTTTCATTCATCCTTTATGTCTGCATTTTCTATGTCTCGTTGTATCTTTTAATGTAGCCCCTTCACAAGGTCTGACGATGAAAATAAATATTTTGGCAACAACTGACACATCAAAATCATATTGATGCTAACTGATGTCTAATCCTTGGCAACAAAAACCCAAACAAGAACCATGATTCATCATTTTTACAAGGTGTCACGTTTCCAAAGGAACATTTTGGTGGCTTCAGATATGTAGGTCTAGAGACAGTCTGTAGATGACATGACACTAAGCAACTCAAACTTTTCACAAGCTTTCACATCACACACAGCCTAGAAACACAAACATTTCTGTGTGTGACTATTCATTCAACAGAAACACCGACTGAGCCCATACACACCTAAAAGCGTGGATTAAAGGAACAAGTTTCTTGAATCATTGGTTGCTTGCAGCCCCAAAGCCCCTCTTCCACTGCGGAGCAACACACACACACACACACACACACACACACC